GACTCTAAGAACCGTACACAAGAGGAGCAGAAAAAGTGGGGTTATTCCAGGAAAATCCGTGTAGCAAATTAATGTGTGAAAGGAAGCTCATGTGTGCCCTGGGGTATATTTCATTTTTTTTCTAAGTACAATCATCCCTTTAGGCAGATCTATCTGCATTTTCCACTGAGCATTGCCATCTAATGACGCACTGGCAGAAAGGTTCATATGTTGCTCAATTTGTCACTTAATCCCTTACTACATATAGTAAACCAACTGCGAGAGTCCTTAAACCGGAACTGCACTGCACCTGAGCACTAGTGATGGGCTGAACACCCCTCGGTTTGGTTCACGGTCGAACATTCGAACCTACCGAAAGTTCGACCACTTACAGTTACTAAAATACCGCATGAGTTATATTGTTAAGTCATTCAGAGTTTTAGTAGTGAAACATTCATTTGTGTTTCAGCGGTCGTTGGGGTTCCCGCTGAATGTCAAAAGAATTGTCGCCATTTCCTGACAATTACATTTTTTTTTTATTGTAAAAACGGCGTGGGGTCCCCCCTCCCATCCATACCAAGCCCTTCTGCTCTGGTATGGATTTTGACGGGAACCCATTTTTTAAATGGTGTGGGGGTCCCCCAAAAATTCATACCAGACTCTTATCCGAGCATGCAGCCCGGCAGGTCAGCAAAAGGAGAGGGGGGTGATCGAGCAGCCCCCCCTAGAAATATATTTACTGAGAAAAATGAGACATATTCAATACGTATTCTCTCTGCTGTACCTGCATGAATATTATTAATGCTTTGGCTAGTTTTAGATAGAGGAATGGTGAGAACCATTAGCAAGCTTTTATTGCTGTTAGTGTCCGTTTTCAGGGGATTTCACATTTTCACATCACTTATTTGCTCACCAAACCAGTTTATAACAAAAGCAGCCAATAGTCACACCCTTACTAACTATAGATTGATAAAGGGTATTGGCAGAGTTCCAACTTGAAGCAAAAGCACATTGTTTTTTTTTAAATATATATTTGTGTTTATTTTTTCTTTGTTATGTTCAGGACTATATTGCTCATACAATTACACAGACCTGTATTACAGGGCTGCAGATAATAAAAACGATCAAAATCCTTCTCCAAGAATTCACCTGATTTTTGTAGAATGACAAAGGGGGAGTAGCAGAGTTTCAATTTGAAGCAAAAGTAAATACAATTTTTTTTTAATATATATCTTCTGGGGGGGCTGCAGATCATAAATATGAATATCTCTAAGAATTCATCTGATTTAAAAAAAAGCGAATGCTTGTTACAATAGAATTTTTTTTGACACTTAACAAATGTTTGTAAAATATAGATGTTTTTTAGGGTCCATGCACACTGGCTTAAAAAAAATGCTGCTTCTAGAGGCATTTAGCCTGTATTATTATTAATTTTATACAGGATTTATATAGCGCCAACAGTTTGCTCAGAGCTTTACAATATAACGGAGAGACCAGGGGCGGACTGACCATTTGGGAACTCGGGCACTGCCCGAGGGCCCGGGGTCAGTAGCAGGCCCCATGAGATGTCCCTGGTACCTTTCATAGGCTTTTTTGGGAGACAATACAGCAACAATACAGTTCAATACAAGAGGGTTAGGAGGGCCCTGCTCCTTGGAGCTTACAATCTAGGAAGCAGCTCAATGTTAACCTATGTGTCCATGCACAATTAGGATGCTTAGATGCATATTTTAAGCTCAGCATTTCAAGGCAGAAAACAAATCCTTCTGGCTTGAATTTTTGAGAGAAGTTTTCTAGCAGAAAAAAATGCTAAACACTCCAAAACACCTGTACGAAAAAGATCTATACAGGAGTATTTTTCCTGCCGAAAGAACTGGCTTTTTTTTTAAACCCAGTGTTCATGGACCCTTAAAGTATGATTAAATGCTACACAGAAATGCACATTACTGAAAGTTTTATTTTTTTTTTTTTAAGTTAAACTCACCTAGGTGGTTGCAGCATCTGTCCCCCACAACTTCTAAGACTGAGAACTGAGCGATCAAACATCGCTGATTGCTCATTTCTCATCCTTCACTGAGCAGACAGCCAGTGAGTGCCAGTCACCAGCTCTCTACTCTACCCCCCCAACACAGCGCTCACTGGAGCACCGGGCTGTGAAGGGGTGGTGGGAGCTGTTGGCTCAGGCTCTCAGTGGCTCTCTGAGAGGCTGAGCCAGCTGTCAGTACAGGTATCCAGGTGGATCCTGACTTTATTGTCTGTATCTTTTCCCAGTCTGCACGTCAGCAGTTGTCAGCTGAGAATGGGTTACAGGAGTGCAGAACACAGTGCACTCCTGTGATACACAGGAGAAGTAAAGCCAAAGCAGCTTTGGTGCTACTTCTCCTTAAAGTGTTACTAAACCCAGGACCCTGCATTCTCTATATCTGCTCTCCCCGGACCCTGCATTCACTATATCTGGTCACCCCGGACCCTGCATTCACTATATCCGGTCTCCCCGGACCCTGCATTCACTATAACCGGTCACCCCGGACCCTGCATTCACTATATCCGGTCTCCCCGGACCCTGCATTCACTATATCCGGTCTCCCCGGACCGTGCATTCACTATAACTGGTCACCCTGGACCCTGCATTCACTATATCCGGTCTCCCCGGACCCTGCATTCACTATATCCGGTCCCCCCAGACCCTGCATTAACTATATCCGCTCTCCCGGGACCCTGCATTCACTATAACCGGTCACCCTGCATTCACTATATCCGGTCTCCCCGGACCCTGCATTCACTATATCTGGTCTCCCCGGACTCTGCATTCACTATATCTGGTCTCCCCGGACCCTGCATTCACTATATCTGGTCTCCCCGGACCCTGCATTCACTATATCTGGTCTCCCCGGACCCTGCATTCACTATATCTGGTCTCCCCGGACCCTGCATTCACTATATCTGGTCTCCCCGGACTCTGCATTCACTATATCTGGTCTCCCCGGACCCTGCATTCACTATATCTGGTCTCCCACAGTATACAGAACATGAAAATGCAATTATTTGAGTAAATATAAACTGCTAAATACCTTTTCTCATCAGCGTTTAGAGCAGTCTTGTGACTTCTATCAGTGTCCAGCAGAGAACTGAGCTTGTAGGAGGAGTTTTCACTGTCCTAGGAGGCTGCATAACCCCTGACCCTCTGTCTGTACAGTGCTGATTGGCCCTGTGCTGATCATGTGCACTCTCCCAAAGAAAAAAACGCTCTAGCAATACACACCAAACTGAGCATGTGCAGAGTGCCCCCAAGGCTCTGTACTATCAGCAGATGGAATGGGGGCAGTAAAAGAAGGGGAGGATTGGAGAAGACAGGATCAAACATCCTTTTTACACAATGCAGAGGACAGGGGAGGACTGACCATTTGGAAACTCGGGCACTGCCCGAGAGCCCAGGGTCAGTAGGGGGCCCCATGAGATGCCCCTGTTACCTTTTTCATAGGCTTTTTTGAGTTTGGGCAAGGACACAGGGACCCCATGATCCCCTATTGCCCGGGGGCGCCATGAGTTGTCAGTCCGCCCCTGATTCCAACCTTTTATTTCCATCCCCCCAGTGAAATCATTAAACTCTCTCTCTTCTCCTCTCCTATTCTCTTTTTTCCTCTCTCCATCTTTCCTTCTTGCTTTCTCTCCTTTTCTCTTGCGGTCTCTGTCTCTTAAATTCTCAAAATGTACTTTAAATTGCTCTGTAGCACATGTGTATGTCAAGGCAAAACCTTTTTGCTTTTTGTTTTGGATCATATATGGAAGGAACAAGGGCGGACTGACCATTTGGAAACTCAGGCACTGCCCGAGGGCCCGGGGTCAGTAGGGGGCCCCATGAGATGCCCTTGGTACCCTTTTTCATAGGCTTTTTTGAGTTTGGGCAAGGACACAGGGACCCCATGATCCCCTATTGCCCGGGGGCCCCATGAGTTGTCAGTCTGCCCCTGGCAGGGGATTAATCCCTTAAGTTCCACAGTGAGTATAACAAGCATGCTTTACTGCATATACAGACTGATTGTACTGTTGTGGGTTTAGTAACACTATTTTATATTGAGAGAATGCGCACCAACATTTTTCATTTTTTTAAAAACCTTTTTAAAGGAAAAAAAACTGCATACAATAACAGAGGATATGCTACCAGGAATTGCCGGGGAGGGCTTGCATACACTGATGATTATTATTGTCAACAAGGGTTGGGTTTAATCAGAGTTCTGTTGTTGTCGAGGAACCATGCCCCAATGACCACCCATATTGTACAGTCAGTTTGGGATCAATAATGTGATATTTGTACCTCCTTTTTTCTTTTTTTGTTTTGTACTCTTGATATACAAGCAGTACTGTGCTGTTAATCCTCTCTTTATAAATGAAAACAATATTGAAAGTAAAAATAAATAAATAAGCTGTTCAAAACCATTATACATTTCCATTTAAATGGACGGTCACAGCTGCAACAATGTTACCTGTTACACAGGGAAGCGGAGAAATGGCCAAAAGCTAACGAATTTCTGCATAAAGTTCTAAGATGTTGCAATAAATGTTTTTTCCCCTTTTTTTCTTCTTGGCAATTCACAGACTGTTGTTCATAAGAAGCACATTTATTTCCTTCTGATTACAAATTACAAGCTGGCCTACATCCCATAATAAAGTATGCATTATTAAAATGATCACTTCACGTAATTACTCAATCTCTCCACCCCGCACACTCTGTAAGAAAGTGCTCAGAAAATCTGCCTGCAGAATCAGACACAAACACTTGTTGCCAGCACTCCGACTGCATCTACCCGTTTTTTAGCCTTCAGATGGAGCTCTACCCTTGTTCCTCCAGGAGAGACATCCAAGGTGACCACTCTGTGGTTCCTGGTTCTGTGCTGTTTGCTGCTGGCCTCCTAGGTAACATCATTGCCCTCATAATCCTCTGGCAACACAAGCTAAATGGGAAGAACAAGAAGACTTCAGTTTTCTACGTACTGGTAACAGGACTCACCATCGTAAATCTCATGGGGAAGATTATTGTGTGCCCAGTTGTAATAGCTGCTTATTCCAAAAATGAAACTCTATTCCAACTGACCGAGAACCAAAAACTGTGCCATTTTTTCGCCTTTTGCATGACTTTCTTCAGCCTGGCGCCCACCCTCATCCTCTTGGCCATGGCTGTCGATTGTTGGCTGGCTCTAGCCTATCCATTTACCTATCAGAGACACATCACCAACAAATTTGGGCTTATGGTCCCTGTTGCGGCCTGTATCTTCAGCCTGGGCTTCTGTTCTTTGCCTTTTTTTGGAATTGGGAGGTTTGTGCAATATTGTCCCGGCACCTGGTGTTTTATTGAAATGACCATGAGGGACTCCGCTCTTGGGGATCGCATCTATTCTATGCTCTATGGGACAATTATGGGACTAATAGTATTGGCCATCATTTTCTTCAATGTGGCCATCATGAGACATCTCTATACAATGTACCGAAATAATAGCATGAGGATCATTGTTCGTGCCAACGTAGGCAACAAAGGGATGGATGGGAACCAAGCACAGATGAAGGAGTTGGACCATCTAATTCTGCTAGCAGTCATGACTGCTTTATTTGCTGTCTGCTCATTGCCTCTGACTGTAAGTATACATTATATAAAAGTAGAATATTTTATTGCAAACCTACATATGATTTAAATGTCCAAAATGCTAAATTTTTTACCTCCATTTTAGTATAAGGGCTCATTCACAGGGGCAGTACACATTGCAGCCCCTGTCAGAAGACCTCTTGCATTATTACTGCCTGTTTTAACCCTGAGAGAGAGAGAGAGAGAGAGAGAGAGAGAGAGAGACCCTGGAGAATAAAATGTTGGCCACTGAAATATTTTCTTGTACAATATTTGAACAATTATATATCAAAAGCATATTTTTAGGACAAAAACACAATTATATTAATTTTTGTACACACAAACTCAATCTAATATCCAATTTTTGGGTAGAATATAAAAGAAGGGATTGCGTTGAGTAAATTGATACCAGACTTGTTAAGTCCCCTTTCACACAGGGCTGAATCATCTTGCTTAGCGGGGGATCTGTCTGCTGACAGGTGGAGCAGACATGGACACAGCCTGCTCTAAGGGTAGTCAGATGTAAATGGGCCGGCTGCCCTTCAATCCACCAAGATGGAGGGGCATGGATCTCATTCCTTTTTTTTTTAGCAAATTGGATGTACGATGGTGTAAATGGACATAAGTCTGTTTACATGCACCGCTCCATAGAGGTAAATGGAGGATCTGCCTGAAAACAGACAAGCAGGCCTGATTGGACTGACTGCGTGATCCTCCGACTGGTAAAATTCACACCAAGCTCACAGCTGCAGTAGCAGCAACCAGCTTGCCTCAACCCCTTGTTTACAATCCTGTTTAGAAATGTACCTTGGCAGACAAGAGGTTAAAGAGCACGTTCAGCCAAAAACTTTATACATCTAAATTTGTCTGTGTTATGGTTGCAGATTTTCTGGCACTCTGTCTGGTGAAGCTGTTGTCACCAGGACAGGAAGTGAGAGGAAATCTTGTGAAGGGAGTCCCAGACAGCAGTAACATCTGACAGTTCTGTCCCTTCTAAACTACCAAAAACAAAAGCAAAACTTTTGGCTTCACATACACAAGTTTTGGTAGTTTCTCTGACCTCATGCAACACCATATTAATGTTTGTGCTCCTGCACAAGAGGCATACGTGCGGCTATAACAAAAGCTCATCTGTTCTGTCAATGGTAGAGGAATTAAACTTGAGAAGATAAATTATTTGTTCTGTATTTAAAGAAAAGGAACACTAATATTTTCATATGTGAACCGTCAACAACACTCCAGGCATATTTTACTCATTATGAAATACAATGAAATGTGAAGATATGAAAATCATGCCAAAAGGCTTATACACAAAAATCTGCAAGATTAGTTCTGATTGGTTGCTTTGCTCTGTCACTGTATATTGTTCTTTCCTTGAATAAACTTGACTAAGTTTCTGCACTCTCAAGATGAACTCTGTCTGGCAGCTGAGCAGTCAGTAGGACAAACAGTTGATCTTCCAAAACACGGAATCATTGTAACCAGCAAGCATAAAATTGTTGGGATCATCTCCAGGTCTTGATTTTTCTATAGGCTCAAAGGGGTACATCCAAGAGAAGCTGTCAATGCTTAGGGCTCATGCACATTGGGCTTGAAAAATGGCAGTTTTACAGACATTTGGCGATTGTTTTTTTATCCTGTAATAGCACTGATATGTTAGCTTGGGTGTCCCATGCACAGATATGCTATGTGTGTGTATGTATATACACTATATTGCCAAAAGTATTGGTCGGCCGGCCTTTACACACGCATGAATTTTAATGGCATCCCAGTCTTAGTCTGTAGGGTTCAATATTGAGTTGGCCCCGCCCTTTGCAGCTATAACAGCTTCAACTCTTCTGGGAAGGCCGTCCACAAGGTTTAGGAGGGTGTCTATGGGAAGGTTGGACCATTCTTCTAGAAGCACATTTGTGAGGTCAGGCACTGATGTCGGGGGAGGAGGCCTGGAGTGCAGTGTCCGCTCTAATTCATTTCAAAGGTGTTCTTTCGGGTTGAGGTCAGGAATCTGTGCAGACCAGTCAAGTTCCTCCACCCCAAACTCGATCATCCATGTCTTTATGGACCTTGCTTTGTGCACTGGTGAGCAGTCATGTTGGAACAGGAAGGGGCCATCCCCAAACTCTTCCCACAAAGTTGAGAGCATGAAATTGTCCAAAATGTCTTGGTATGCTGATGCCTTAAGAGTTCCCTTCACTGGAAATAGGGGGCCAAGCCCAACCCCTGAAAAAACAACCCCACACCATAATCCCCCCTCCACCAAACTTTACACTTTGCACAATGCAGTCAGGCAAGTTCCGTTCTCCTGGAAACCACCAAACCCAGACACATCCATCAGATTGCCAGACAGAGAAGTGTGATTGGTCACTCCAGAGAACACGTCTCCATTGCTCTAGAGTCCAGTGGCGGCGTGCTTTACACCACGGCATCCAACGCTTTGCATTGCGCTTGGTAATGTAAGGCTTGGATGCAGCTGCTCGGCTATGGAAACCCATTCCATGAAACTCTCTACACACTGTTGTTGTGCTAAACTGAAGGCCACACCAAGTTTGAAGTCTTTAGCTATTGACTCTACAGACAGTTGTTGACTTCTGCACACGGTGCGCTTCAGCATGCGCTGACCCCTCTCATTTTACGTGGCCTACCACTTGGTGGCTGAGTTGCTGTTGTTCCCAGTTGCTTCCACTTTGTTATAATCCCACTAACAGTTGAGCGTGGAATATTTAGTAGCCAGGAAATGTCACGGATGGACTTATTGCACAGGTGACCACCTATCACGGGACCACGCTTGGAGTCACTGAGCTCCTGAGAGCGACCCATTCTTTCACAAATGTGTGTAGAAGCAGTCTGCATGCCTAGGGGCTTGATGTTATACACCTGTGGCCATGGAGGTGATTGGAACACCTGAATCCAATGATTTGGAGGGCTGGTCCAATACTTTTGGCAATATAGTGTGGGTGTTTGCAGGCATATTAGAAGAGGAGCATTACAGACTGAAATAATTGTATCACCAACATGTTCAGGAGAGGAGCTTTTAGGCTTTTTGATGCACCTAGATGTGTTTAGTACTTTAGCAATCATTCATTTGGCTAGAATAAATTAATATTCTGGTCAATGGAATCCTTAAATGCTCAAATGCTTAAAGTGCTTAAATGTGCATGCAAAATGCAGCTTTAGTAGCATTTTTTAACCACTTGCCAATTGCACACTGTAGTTTTACTGCTACAGTGTGGGCCAGCTGTGCAGAATCACGTCTATATGTGTGATTTTGCATTTCCAGATAGGGGGCGTGCTCATGTGCCCAACCACCTGACTGTGCTGTCATTGGCTCCAGCACATGCCCATCAGCAATTCTCAGGTCAGTGATTTATGGTTAGGACCCGCTGATCAGTGGAGTGAGTGTAGGTAAACAACCAGGGGCGGACTGACCAAGGGCCCGGGGTCAGTAGGGGGCCCCATGAGATGCCCCTGGTACCTTTTTCATAGGCTTTTTTGAGTTTGGGCAAGGACACAGGGGCCCCATGATCACCTATTGCCCGGGGGCCCCATGAGTTATCAGTCCGCCCCTGTAAACAACACAGAGCTCTCTATTGACAGCGGCGATCTGCTGGGTTTTTTTTTCCCCTCAAGGCAGGGAAACTATTCCCTGATGAAGGGGAGCCTGTTTTGGCATCAAAATGTGTTGGCTGTCTTTTGAATCTTTAAAGCTGTTTTGGACTCCTTCGTGAATTTGATTTTTCTGTAGGCACTGCGATTTTTCACATTATAACATGCTTTGTGCTAAGCTAGCCTGTTCACTTCACAATTAACGAAGAACTGAATCTGCTGCAATTTTTTTTAATGTATCAAACCACAAAGTGTGCCAGGTGTGTCCTGCTGCATTGCCACACAGGTCTGCTGCCACCTACTGTACTTGTGTATTGGGGAACCTTTCTGAATTAATGGCACCATAAAGGGCCACACAAAGTACCTTACATTATTATGTTTTTAAGTGAAGCACATTTTACAATGAAGAGGGCCTTAAGGAGGATTAAAGTGGAACTTTAGTCAGAAAATTAAGTCATTTGAGATCACTTCATGCTCCTTTTGCAGGTATAACTATTAAAAAGTAAGTGCCTATACTGTTTAACCACTTGAGCTCCTGAGGACTTACCCCCCTTTATGACCACGCCTCTTTTTGCTACTTGGCGCTGCACTAATTCAACTGATAATTGCGCGGTCATGCAATGCTGCACCCAAACAAAATTTACGTCCTTTTTTTCCACATAAATAGAGCTTTCTTTCGGTGGTATTTGATCATCTGTGCACTTTTTATTTTTCACGCTATAAACATAAAAAGGCCAAAAATTTTGAAGAAAAACAATATTTTTTACTTTCAGCTATAAAAAATATATAGTAAACTCAAAGTTGGTTATAAATTTAGGCCAAAATGTATTCTGCTCCATGTTTTTGGTAAAAAAAATCCCAATGAGTGTATATTGATTGCTTTGTGTGAAAGTTATAGCGTTTACAAACTATAGTATAAATACTGCAACTTACGCCATTTTTCTGCTATACAGCTCTGCGCTAGTTTAACGGACAATTGCGCGGTCATGCAATACAATACATAAATTAAATTTACATCCTTTTTTTCCCCACAAATTGAGCTTTCTTTTGGTGGTATTTGATTGCCTGTGTGGTTTTTATTTTTTGCGCTATAAAAAAAAGGCTGACAATTTTGAGGAAAAAAAAAAAATATTGTGGACTTTTTGCTATAAAACATGTCCAGTAAAAAAAAAAATGCAAAAATCAAATTTAGTCATAAATTTCTGCCAAAATGCATTCTGCGACATGTCTTTGCTAAAAAAAAAAACCCAATACGTGTAAATTAATTGGTTTACGTGAAAGTTATAGTGTTTACAAATGGCGGGAAAGATACTGGGATTTTTAGGGGTTTTTTTATACTAATAATGGCGGCGATCAGCGAATTATGGCGGTGATCAGGGACTTATGGCAGCGACCAGCGACTTATGGCGGGACTGCGGTGGACATTCTGACATTGGGGGGTACTGACTTGGGGTCACTGACATCCCC